GATAACCGTATTGTACTTCTCTCTTGTGTTGGAAGAACCGATCTATAATCTTAGTTGCCATTTTGGGCTATTTAGTGGAACCGAGCATACATCCAATTTATTAGATGCTCAAGGGGGATGTTGGCATTAGATATGGTGGCCGAACCTTCGGAGCTTAGCCCGAAAGAAATCGCTTGTGTTAAATCTTTTAAGTTTCTGGAAGTATACTTTCAGTTATTTGGGATTACTCTAAATCTTGTCTGAATATCGTGTTATATGGGCCTTTTCACTGATGTTGACGTTAGATGCAACCATATTGTGTTAGCTAGCTGATCCAACTTGATATTCATCTTTTCGAACATCTTCTTCATGCACTATATAGGGTTTTGTTGGTACATGTCGAGCTCTTCTTAACTAGCAGAGAATGTTGATATAGCTTTCTCTACACGCTACATAGTTTCATCCATTCATGCTTTTGTTCCCCCTTTGGTATGAATGAGCTCAAAGAAGTCTGCTTTTGGAAAGAAATAAAAACAAAGAAATAGATGAATCATATAAAGGGTTTAATTGGGGGAGCCTGGCCTCAAAATTCTACCACAATAGTTCCACTCTTTATTCATGACATTAAATAATGATACATTTCAACTATTAATTCTCCTATACTACTGGCATATGCAAAAGAAATAACCAACTTAGGACTAACTCCTGACTTTTTCAAATGAAAATTAAAAACAAAATAAAAATAAATAAAAATCTGCACTGCATAAATTAATAATTGTAACACTTTCTCGCTTAAAACCTCCTTTCTGAGGAATACTAAACACCTTGTCAAGTTTCTCAAGTTTTAATTCAAAAAAATTATAAGCATGATCTACTAAAACTCTATTGCCAATGCTAGCCATCTGCAACCACTTATTCATACACATCCATGAATCTTGCAACACTTCAATTCTCTTGCTATTATTTCTACCTTTTTGCATTTTCAACTTGTTTTGAAATCTTAGCATGGTCTCCATTTAGTCAAGAGTATTGAAAATCCAATTTTTTGACCAAAAAAAAAAAAAAACATTAATAAATAAAGTAGTAATTTTTTTTTTTAATACTATCTGACAAATGCTATGGGAATAAAATAACACTTAAGAATTAACTAATCAATCGATAATTATAAGAAAATACATTAGAATTTAATTGATGGTAACTTCTAAAAAAAGTATATAGAATAAAATATCATCAATAATACTGAAGACTTCCCATCGAAGATTAATGATTGAAGCACCGTCAGTTGTACGTAACATCATCAACGATATTGTCATTAATAATCATCTCGATGGAGTTACATCGATAATCAACAATTTATCATTGTAGATAATTTTATCTGAATTATCAATGAATATAAATTTCTATCATTTTTAAAGATAACATAAATTGTTTTAAACAAATTGGTAAAAAAAAAATGTTCGCTAATTAAAGATATAAAAAAATAAAAACAAAAATAAAAAAATAAACTAGGTGATAAACAGGGCAGGTGACCTACCTCACCTCGGCCGAGACCACCATGTTGCCATCCCCATGAATAGTCAAGATCAGTTGGTGCTTAGGACATCAGTAATGATATGTTATATATTAAGAGAATATATATAGCCCCCGTTTGGCCCCATTTTGTAGTAATGAAAATAGGAAGAATATATCATTTTATTTACAAACATCCTTGGTAGGTGGTAGCTCAATTGGTTGGTGCTTGAGAGAATATAGCCCCCGTTTGGCCCCATTTTGTAGAAAAGAAAATAGAGAGAATATATATATATATATATATATATATATATATATTTGTTGAAAAATGAGTGATTGAAACTTGAAAGAGAAGGAAAAGTATTCGATTTACGTGTAATATTATTTTATGGAGAATTATGTGGTTAAAAATAGGAGAGAGAAAAATGAAATGTAATGGAACGAAAATTAATGGGGGCCAAACGTGGCATAATTTATGACCTAATATTTTAATTTTAATTTTTTTTTTACAAGTTTATTAATTTTAAAATTAAATTTCAAAACCGTATTGTATTCTTAATTGAAGGTGAACCCTTGGGATTTGTAAAACAGACCAATATTGTGGTTGAAGGAAACCCATTGCATGGGTGTGCACCATTGGTCCAAGATCTGTTCGATCGCTTCTCTTGGTGCGGCCAATCTTACTATCAAGCCTAGTTTTTTCCAGTAAATGGGCCCCCAAATGACTGAATTGATCAATACCAAATCTTCAGGGACCAGTTCGAAACGTCCAAAAGTAAAACGTCAAGAAAAATATGTTAGGGACCTAAATTTTGCACAAAGAGATATGTTAGACACCATTTGTGCTCAATTTCCAAATTAATTGTTCCAATGGTGATAACTTATATCCTAATAGTGGTGGGCACAAAAATTGAAACCCTAAACCCGACCTGACCTGGTTCGTGTTAGGTTGGATCGATTTGAAGATGAATTCGGGTTGATTCGGGTGATTATGTATTTTAAAGTAATTTTATTTTTGTCAGTTCAAGATCCAAGTTGTGGTTTCACCCAAACCGACCAAATCTACGAACAAACCTAAAACTGGAATACTCCAATACCAAATTTGAAGACCAAAGTCGTCTCATCCTTTCACTTGCTAAACCTAGATCGTCCGCCTCTGCCTCCACCCCTGTCCCAACCTCCAGCTCTACCTCCGTTTATTGTCTCGTACTTTTTTTCTATCTTCATTTTAAACTTCATTTGTTCGTAAAGATGCAACTGGAATTGCGAGTATGTGCATCATGGTAATATTTATGAATTAACAAAGATTATATAGGGAATAATAATTATTGTTCATAAATGTGTTTTTGTACTATTCTTGAGTATGAGATTATTCCAGATTATTCGGAAACAAAGCCGAGTGCATAGAGAGAATTAAGGAGCACTGGAGGTCGGTAATCTCATTTAGCATGAAATATTTAAATAGTCCGTGTAGCTTTATGATGAGTTTTTATCACTTGTTGCTCTTGAATGGAATAAGGCATGTATTAGTGGGAATCCTTTTAGTTAATGAATCAAAGCTTTATTATCTAATAAGAGTTTTAATGTTTAGTTTTTGGAAGTGAAATTTGGCAAAATTTCCTCAATTGCGAATTCACGTTGCAAGACATTACGTGGTTTTGAATTACATAAATAATAGCGAGAATTTTCACCTACAAATGAAGTCAGGGAAAGAAAACTGCAATAATGGTCACTGTGATGTAAAATAACAAAGAAAAAAAGAGAAAACTAACCCAGCCCAAACCAACCATACCCGAAACTGGTTTGTGTTGGGTCGATTTTAGCATAATCAAAAATCGAATAAATCGGGTCAGGTTGGGACCAAAATCGGCCCAACCCAGCCTGTTGCCCAATTCATTGAAATTTAAAATATCGAGTTTTGATCACTGAATTTTGAAAAAAAAAACGTTGTACGTTACTCATTAACATAACTTCTGTCTCAAACTTCTAACAGAATTGATGACGTAGCTAAAGGAATGGACATGCGGCACTCCGTCAGATAGTTAGACTTTGATCTAATCGAGTTTTGGCCACTAAATCCATGTTTGAGCCACATTCTATGAAAAAAATACATTATTCAAATCAAATCAATGAGGAATGTGTGTTAAAAAAAAGGAAAAATTTTAGATCTGCGTGAAATATTATGTCATTAAAGAATGTGTGGCTGAAATGTTGTCAAATCACTGTTGTAAAATGTATTTTTTTTTTAAATAATGTGGCTCAAACAAGCCCTAAATAAGAAATGTCTTCTGTTACGCACTAAACTTTGACAAACTTCTTCTATTACTCACTATAAATTTGGATTTAATTAAACTTTCATTTATCTCCCTTTAAAATAAAACTCTTTAATTTTCATCCTAATTTTTAACCACACATTTATAGAATAAAATATTTTACCCGTAACCTCAAAGAATTTACCAATTTTTTAATCATATATTCTCCAAAAAAATCACTATTTAAAACTCTTTTTTTTTTTTAAATAATGGTCATCAAACAGGGGCAAAAGTTCATTGTTAAAATTCGAATTTAATTTAATTTTAACAATAAATATATTGAGTGTTTCATTGCAATTAATAGTTACTTCCTTTACACAGCTTTGCAAGTATTGTTTAAAGCACCATGAATTATTACTCAATTACACAGTAGTTATATTTTATTTTAATTTATTTTTATAGAATTTTAAACTATGATAATCACAATATTTGAATTTTGCAACGGGACACGTAATGAATTTGTTGTTAAATAAAATTAAATCCAAATTTTAACAATGAATTTTAATTAAATCTAAATTTGTTGTGAGCAATAGAAGACGTTTGCAAAAGTTATGCAGAGGAAATAACGACTAAATGTAATGAACATTCGATATATTTATTGTTAAAATTAAATTAAATTTGAATTTTAACAACAAAATTTAGCCACTGTTTGATTGCCATTATTTAAAAAAAAAATTAAATAGTAATTTTGGAGAATGTGTGATTAAAATGTTGGAAAAAATTTTGAATTTTCGTTTAAAATATTTTATTATACAAATTTGTAGTTAAAAATTAATATGAAAATTAAAGATTTTTGTTTTAAAGGTAGATAAATAGAGGCATAATTAAATATAAATTTATATTGAGCAATATAATACGTTATTCAAAGTTTAATAGCCAAAGTTCGACTATAGCAAAGTTCAGTGGCTAAAATTCGACCACCTCAAAGTTTAGTGGCCAACATTCAACTATATCAAAATTTAACGGTGTGACGGGACGCCACATAAATATTCTGTCAACCGTGTCATTAATTCCGTTAGAGATTTGAGATGAAAGTTATGTCAATGAGTAATGTCCAATATTTTTAAAAATTTTGTGGACAAAATTTTATATTTTAAATTTCGGTGAACAATCAAAGACATAGATATAAATTCAATGATCATTGAAAAAATTAACTCTATCAATTTCTATATTTCTGGAAGTTTCGTTTTCGCTGGTTCTTGAATACGAATATTGATCGAAAATAAACCAGCAAACGACCGCCGTTAGTTTCTCCAACTTTACTCTTCGTTCGAAGATCAATTATAAATAAAGCAAATAGACGTTTGAAATTTATAATCACATTTCACAGCACTCTTTCTTATAATCAGTGATTTCTTCCACGATCCATTTCTATCGAAGGGCGAATTTACAGAATTTCCGGTGTCTCAGTCAGATGGTTAAATCCGAAACTAAGAAGAAAATTCGATTAAACTCTTGGAGGACTTGGATTATTATTGGCGCTCTCATTGTTCTTCTCTTCGCTATATTATTCGTTCCGAGAAATTTTCACCACACCACTCTCTTCAATCGCATCAGAAACTGTAACTGTTCTCAGGTAACTTAATAATTTATGAATTTTCTCACAATTAGACTATCCGTGGAACGGATATTTCTGTACCAATTTATGTTTCGAGCTGTAAATTTGTGAGATTTTAGGTTTATTTTATTTATTTATTTATTTATTTTTGGAAATCTAGTTTATTATCTTTTTATGGAAAGATTACTCTATTTATTTCCATTCTCACAATGCTAATTAAATACTATGTAATTGTAACCTGCTAATTTGGAACAGCTCATAAAATAAATAACTTCTTTTTGCAAATTGATTTAACTAAAAACATTTTTGACCTAATGGTTGCTTCGATATATTAATTTTCAAAATTTAAGAGAAAATATTAGATCAAGTGATGACTTGAATTTCAAGTCTTAGATTTCCATTTTTATTTAGAAGTTTTCAATTTTCACCTTCTTTATCCATAGAAATGTGTTTGTGCATATAGCAAGGGCTTAAGTATTATGGGATAGTGGAGGATTGCTGTTGTGATTATGAGACTGTAGATCGGATTAATGAGGACGTGTTGTATCCATTGCTCCATGAGATTGTGAAATATCCATTTTTACGATACTTTAAGGTACGCAAAGTTCTATATGAATATTGTATGGTTTTAAATTCCATATACGTCTCTCCTGGTGACTGATTTTCTTTCACTGCGATAGGTCAAGTTGTGGTGTGATTGCCCTTTTTGGCCTGATGATGGTATGTGCCGTTTGAGGGACTGCAGCGTATGTGAATGTCCAGAGAATGAGTTTCCTAAAACATTTAGGGAATCCTCTTCCCATAGCCACTCATCAGATGATATTGTCTGTCAAGAAGGAAAGCCAGAAGCTACTGTTGATCGTACAATAGATACTAAAGCTTTCCGAGGCTGGATAGTGGAAGACAATCCATGGACAAATGATGATGAGACAGATACTGGTGCTTCTTATTACTTTTCCCCATTTTTTACTTTTTTAACTGTTATATATAGTCCCTCCCCCCCTCCCCCAGCCCCAACTTACGCAACGTTTTATATCTGAAAGCCCTCGATATATACCTTGTAGAAGTGATCCCATACTTGTATTTTTTATTCTTCCTATCTGTCCACCAATTCTAGTCTGCATGCTTCTCACCTTCACAATTGGAATAATTTGTCCGAATCTTTTATCTTTAGGACGCATTCATTTCTTTAGTCATGATGTGAGATTCATATGCTTTAATCTTGAATTAACAGCTTTTGATTTTGTTGATTACAGATGAAATGACCTATGTAAATCTGCAACTGAATCCTGAACGCTACACTGGCTATACCGGTCCATCTGCTAGAAGAATCTGGGATGCTATTTACACAGAGAATTGTCCCAAATGTAAGTCATATACCACCTGACTTAAAGTTATTGAACGAGAAAAAGAAAGGGTCGTCTTTTTGTAACTGATTATATGAAACGGATGGAGTTGGGATCATCTTGTCCTAAAAGAAGTAATTGAAAATCTTGTTTGGAGGCTGAAGCTGCTCTAACTTTATCCATGGATGATTAGTTCTAGCCTATGATTTATATCTTACTATTTGTGTTCTTCATCCGTACATTGGCAAACTTCTATTTTAAGTTTTTATGCTACAGGGAAGAAAAGTTGATTACTATTTAAGTTTGTAGCAAGGTACTTTCCTAGCTAACTTCTCTGGATAAAGTTCATTCATTATTAACTGGTGGGCAATTAGCAGAGGGCATGCATAAAGGAAAATTTCAGATGAAACCATCTTCTAATGTTTAATTTGCCTATAGTTTTATGTTTACTTATTGCTTACATGAGTAGAAATCATTTCTCATTTTTTTTCTGTGCTTGTTTGTTGGGGTGGGCTTGTGTTTTCTTACTGATAATTGACATGCTCTGTAGATCCATCTGGAGAGTGCCAAGAGAAAAGAATATTGTACAAGTTGATATCTGGTCTTCACTCCTCCATTTCAATCCACATAGCCGCTGATTACCTGATTGATGAAAAGACAAACACGGTATTGTCTATTGTAATTGACTTGTATGCTTTTGTTTTATGTTATGCGAATGCCATGTTTTGGAAATTTGTCCTACACGAATGTTCATGTCAGATACAGGATGATTATTTTATCCAGATTAATTGTTAGCAAGATTTGACTCTGTAACTTCTTAATCTATATAATATGATGACTTGGAATAAAGGACTTGGTTTTCGAATCTGATTCAGTCTGAGCAGGATTCAGGTTGGAAACATAATTATTGTGTCTCATAGTTGATTGCTAAATAAAGTGAGTATACACGTGCATTTATGCACTACACTATTTGATCTGCCTATATCCTACGAATTTTCCTTTTGTTCTTATCGCAGTGGGGCCAAAATCTTTCCTTGCTGTATGATCGGGTTTTGAAATATCCAGATCGTGTCAGAAATTTATATTTCACTTTTCTATTTGTCCTGCGATCAGTGACAAAGGTGAGTCCATTAGCTTTGGAGCTTGTATTGTGGTTCATTTAATTATCTGTTTTTTAAATTTCTTCGTTGTATACTTTCTAGGCGACAGATTACTTGGAACAGGCTGACTATGATACTGGTAATCCTTTGGAGGACATGAATACAAAGCTTATGATGAAGAAGTTGCTGCATGACAGTAAACTTCAAGATGCATGCCCAAAACCATTTGATGAAGCTAAGTTGTGGAAAGGCCAAAGTGGACCTGAGCTGATGCAACAAACTCAGAGACAGTTCAGAAACATAAGGTTTTCTATTAGGCCCCGTTTGATTGCACGAAATTTTCCATGGAACTTGGAATTCGAATTCCAACTTTCACTTTTAGCCCATTTGATTGACAAAATTTTACAGGGAATTGATTTTCTATGAATTTCTAGGTACAACATCTTAAAACGTGATTTTCCACCTTTTATTTTCCTAGGGGGTAGGTGGTTTTTTGTTTTCCATCTTTTTTTTTTTTAATTGTTGGCAATGGGAACAAATTCTAGGAACAATGATAGAAGTGAATATCCCTTAAATTGACAATTTTCATGTGAAACAAAGTCAAACGAACACCAAAAAACACTTTTATTTCAACATTTTCCACGTGGAAAATTATACCAATCAAACTCAATAATTTACAATTCTCAGAAAAACAATTTTTAGGTAATTTAATTCCCTGGAATTCATTTTCTTTCTACCCAAATTCCATCTTCGCAATCAAACAGACCCTTAATGTTTTTACTCAAGCATTTTATCGACCCTGCTTCATGATGTGAATTATGACCATTTTCAGTTTCATATGTGCATTTTTATCTGCGTTCTTTGATCTACAGAATCCTGTGGTTTTGATGCTCCAAATTCCTCTTATAAAAATTGCAGCGCATTGATGGATTGCGTGGGATGTGAAAAGTGTCGTCTTTGGGGAAAGTTACAGGTTCTGGGTCTCGGAACTGCATTGAAAATTTTATTTTCCGTCAATGGCCAGGAGCATTCAGGTCAAACTGTAAGTTCTCTATGCTAAAAGGATTCCCTTGAAAGCTCAACTGCGTCATCATTTTTTGACGTTTCAGTCATAATTCTTGATTATGGCTTGAATTCACTTGTGCCTAACACTTGAGAATGTGCAACATAATTACTTTAATATATGATCTATGCTTATTCTTACTTAAACCTCATTTAAGTTGTTTGTGACTGACCACTTTGTTGGCTTTCATCTGCAGCTGCAACGAAATGAAGTGATTGCTTTGATAAACTTACTCCATCGGCTCTCAGAGTCTGTCAAGTTTGTCCATGATATGGGACCCTCGGTCGAAAGAATTTTTGGGAAACAGATATCTGCATCTGATCAAATAAGCCGATGACAGAGTATATTCGATCACACTTATTAACATTATTGTAGATTTTCCATTCAGCATAACACTGTTGGGAAGTTTCTTCTTTAGTAGTTATTCACAGATGTCAGAAACAATTTTCAAGTTCTTCGCCCCAAACCACCATTGACACATCATCGATGTAGGGCTGGGAAGCTGGTGATAGTAGATGGCTTCTTCAAAGACTGCTTGAATTGAAATTTTGATGATCAAAACCCTTTTTAACTTTACCCAACAGAGAGAGAAAAAAAAAGAATTATAAAAATGAACCCATGAAATGGTTAGAAGATGTATTTTTCTATTTAAATACTATTTTGTATCTATATACAGTATAGACTCTAAAATGTTTATGCTTTGTGTGGCGATAGAGGCAATACAGTTCCAAAATGGTTGAGATGGTTGAGCTTGAATTTTTTGTTTTCATTTTGCCTTTCCTTGTTCCTGAATTGAAACTTATTGACTAGAGTGATTGTTATGCAGATGAAGTTTATTATTATTATTATTATTATTATTATTATTATTGGGTTCTCTGGTGAGCTGTATCTGATGAATTTAGTATTGGAAATACATCATCATCATCGGGTTCTCTGGTAACCTATATCTGATGAATATAATATTGGGAATACACCGCATTTATCCAAAAACTAGACACGCAAATGAAACATAAACTATTAGTGCTTGTTGGGCACTTATTTGATTGATAAATAGTTCAAACAATTTTACTCATATATCTCGTGAGATTTATAAAAACTATATATTTCTTTATTATTTATTTTCATGTATTTATAATTTAAACATATTATAATAATGTGGAATTGGCACAAAATATTCTTATTTTTCAATGTTTTTGTACAATACGTAACGTCCGTATCTTTAATTTTTTTGACATTTTTGTACCCCTATTTTTACATTTAATTGTGGAATTTTTTTTCCCCATCCAATTTTCTAATAAAAATGTAAAATGTAGTAAATAAAGAAAAGAAAAATTAACCATTTTGCAATTATATTTCTATTTAAAATAAAAAAAAATTGCAAATGAGTGTAAATAAATTATTAAAATGATATTTAACATAAAATGTTCATACTTTTTAATATTATTGTGCAAAAATTTCAAACCTTCCAATTTTTTTGATATTTTCACTCTCATTTTCACATTATATTGCGAAAAAATACAAATAAATTTTAAATAAATAATTTTAAAAAAAAAGTGATTTTTAATTATTTATTTGTACTTTTTAGAAAAATTTGGAAGTAAAGTTACAATTTGTTCTTTATTTTTATTGTTTTATTTAAATAAGATGATATATTCATCGTTTTACAGCTTTCAATTGAAAAAATGGATCGCAACAAAATGTTAAAAATGAAAGGTATGAACGTTTCGCACAATAATATTGAAATAGGTGGACAATTTTTTATTGAGAAATTGGATGAAAAATACATTTTTCGTAATGAAAGGTTAAAACATGGAGGACGTAAAAAAATAAAATATAGGGACGTTTTGCATAATACATTAAAAGTTAAAGAACATTTTGTAATAACTACCCTTATAAAAATCTTGTGTGTCAGGAAGTTTCATTTCTTACCTTAGAAACTCAATTTTCTTTGGAACTCGTCAATTTATCTTTACGCAAGAGAGCAAAAGATCTAGTTCAAGTGTAAGTGTGTGCGCGCGCGCGTCTCTCTCTCTCTCTAGATATACATATAATTATATTCTATTCTATTTGGTAGTGATCATGAAAATTAAGAGAAAAGTGGTTCCACTTATAAGTGAAAGAAGTCAAAAAGACGGTTGAAATAATGAAATAACTATCAAAATTTGATTTTTTTGAGTGAAAAATTGTCATCAAATGAGAGCTCAAAAAATCTATTTTAACTATACATTTTCATAATAATACATAAATACAACACACACACAGAGTTTCTAAATAAATTAAAAAATAAACTATTTCAGAACTCTGAAGAAATAGGTGCTCAAGTCCACCAGAAAGAGTCGATTCACTCTCCGTTCACTTGTCTGGCCGATTAGAGTTGACAGTAGGTCACAATTAGAGCTTGGCCATGCTCAATTTGGTCAGAGGCAGGCGAAGTTTATTCTTCATGTTAAGCAAAGTCATCAATTGACAATTTTACAATTCAATGAAACAAGCAAATTTCTTCATGATCAGGGCCGGTCCTGTAATCGTCAGGACCCGAGGTGAAGTCTATAAATTGGGCCGCGACGAAATCAACGTAAATGCGAAATTCAACAGCATATCTTGCATCTTATTACTAACTTAAAACTTAACATTAAAACAACAAACAAATATATTATTTCAACGGTATATTATGCAACCTAATGCCCAATGATTAACCTAAAAGACAATTACGAAATATCTCAATTATCTCACAATTAGAGTTTTCAATATAGTTACTACATACGTCTATGCAATTGTTGATCATAAAATAACCAATCATATAAGCCAACTTTGCCACCATTATATAAGCTGACAAGACTTCAAACATTTTCAACATATTCAATAACAAGCTAGGGCAAGTCATTGCTGAATTGAGAAGAAAAATTTCGATGAAAATTATGGAATCACACTTTTGAGAATTCTATCGCCACAATTTATAAGTCTGAAATAAAAATTTCATCATTACACAATACTCTATTGCATTATGCCAGTCAAGGACGCTAAATAATAAATAGATATCAAATGTGATGCAAGTTCAAGTAGGACACACATTCTTAGATCAAGATATGTTAAACAAATTCCCATTTCTCATTTTGCACATCCAATGACATTTTCGATTATTGACGCAAAAATTTGAGCATTACAAATTTACAGAAAACAATACAAAATTAAAATTACATACAGACTTTAGAACTGTCCCAAAAAATTTGTGACCTTGTCTTGATGAAATTAAATTGGATCTTCAGTCGCACTATCATAGGCATGAGAAAAAACAAATGAAAAATCAATTTTGCCTTTAACTCTCTAAACCCTTTAAAAAAAAAAAAAAAAAAAAAAAAAAGGAAACAAAAAGGGGGCCAAAATTAGGCCCCCTTTGGTTTTGGGCCTGAGGCGTAGGCCTCAAATGCCTTAGCCCAAGACCGGCTATGTTCATGATAACAAATGAGAAAATGTAATGGTTGGAACAACTTCAACCAAAACCACCCAAATATGCTTAAATCCAACACAGTATTGGAATAACTCAGTTGGGTTCAATAACCCAGACTGTAAATATTTGCTTGAATGAGTTGGAATTACGCGAGAGAGAGAGAGAGAGAGAGAGAGAGAGCCTAACAACATCCAACTCTTACCATTCATTCCCTCCCTCAGCTAAGTAAAGTAAAAGAGGTGTTTCCTTAACAAAAAACGTATTACAATATAAAATCAAACGATGTCGTTTCCTAATTTGAATCACCGATACTTCCATTTACTCATTCCTTTCTTCTTTCCCCACTTTACTGGTACGATCTGTTCCTCTTGGTCTGTAGGTGAGATGAGTTCTTCATCATCATCATGACATATCTCCCCCTCAAAATGACCTTGTCCCTAAGGTTGAAATAGAGAAACTGGTCCCGAGTTGCAGCTGCGTCTTCCCATGTAGCTTCATTCTTATCGTAGCCTCTCCACTAAATCAGCCACTGTGTCACTGCCTGGTTATTTCTCTTGATAATTCTAGTTTGCAACACTGTTATGGGTTACCTGTGGATTGTTTCCTGTTCTCTGCCCTCTGGTAGTAACAAGATAGGCACTTCATGTTCTCTTATCTTTTCTTAAGCAAGGATACATGGAGTACTGGGTGTATTTTCAAAGTAGGGGGTAAGGCCAGTTCATACGCTACCTGGTCAACCTTTCTGGTGATTTGGTAAGGTCCATAGTATTTGATAGCCAGCTTCTGGTTGGTCCTTGCTATAACCGAATGTTGCTTATAAGGATCTAACTTCAAATACACCCAATCACCCACTTAAACTCCCTTTCCACCCTGTGCTCGTCAGCATAGAATTTCATCTTTGTTCGAGCTTGGGCAGGGTACTCCTTTAGATGAAAGTCCATTTGATGTCTCTCTTGCACTAGTTCTTTTACCGCAACCACATTGGTTTGCTGATAAGGGTCCAGTGCCAAATGGGGTGGTTTAATACCATATAGGGCTTCAAAAGGACTCATTTTAATTGCTGTGTGGTGAGTAGTATTGTACCACTGTTCGACCAGGGATAACCAGTCAATCCGCTTCCTAGGTTGGTGAAATGTCGCGCACCTCAAGTACATTTTCAAACACTAGTTAAGCCTATCAGTTTGTCCATCTATCTATGGATGGTATGCAGAACTCAGGTGTAGGTTAGTTCCCATCAATTTGAATAGCTCTTGCCAAAACCCACTAGTGAAAATCTTGTCTTTGTCTGACACAATACTTTGAGGCATTCCATGGAGCTTATATGTGTTATCAAGGAAGAGTTTAGCTACTGTGCTACCAAAAAAGGGATGAGACAAGGCAATGAAATGCCTATACTTAGTGAACCGATCCACCACGACCAGAATAATTGATTTTCCTTTTGAAGAGGGTAGGCCTTTGATAAAATTCACGGATATGTGACTCCATGAATACTGTGGTTCAAGCAGAGGTTATAACAAACCAAGGTAAGGAACATGTTTCACTTTGCATCTTTGATAGACATCACATTGAAGTCTTTCCCTCTTGGTATCTCTAATCATCCTCGGCCAATTGAAGTGTTGTTTAGCCTCGAATACACTAGCCTAAATACCAAAGTGACCTCCATTTTGGGAAGAATGGATGTTTTGAATCAACTTGGCCCTAATCTGACCAGTTCCCACATATAACTTCTTACCTTTAAATTTGAGTAACCCATTACCATATGAAAATTCAGAGTCTTCATTAGGCTTGACTAGCAATTCCTTAATCTGATTTGCAACCACCTCATCATCTTTGTAGCTGTCTATTACTCCACTATCCAGATGGGTGTTACATAAGAAATTGCTGCCACTTCAACTGATGATTCCTCCCTTTTGGATAGCGCATCAGCTAACACGTTATCCACCCCTTTCCTGTATTGAATCTCATAGCTGAGGCCTAATATTTTAGTCAACCATTTTTGTTGGATAGGTGTAGTTATCCGCTGTTCCAGTAAGTACCTTAAGGATTGATGGTCTGTCTTGATGATAAAATGGTGCCCTTCCAAATAATGTCTCAACTTCCCCACTGCAGTAACTAGTGCTAGAAGCTCATTCTCGTAGATGGACATCCCTAATTTCTCATCGCAGATTCCTTTACTGAAGTAGGCAATTGGTCTTCTATTTTGCATTAAGATAGCTCCCATACCTCCATGGCAAGCATCAGTTTCAGTAATAAAAGTTTGATTAAAATATGGTAATGCTAAAACCGGGGTGTTACACATTGCCGATTTCAACTTCTGGAAAGCCATGTATGTCGCCTCATCCCATTTGAAGTTATCAACCTTC